GGGCTACGCCCAACTCCGCATCCATGTCTCGCGTCACGCCCTGGCTGGCCCTCGGAAGAGGGACGGGTTGTGTGTTTGATCAACGATTTGCGTATGTGAAACGAGAGGGGGCCCCACGGTGATCTCCATCGCCGTTGGGGGCTCAAAGTGCTCCCGCCCACAGGCCGCCCTGATGTTGTTCGTTGCTCTCAATACTTTGTACTCGCCTTTGAACCTCTCCGACTTCTGGGGAGATCTCTGTGAGCTGCGTTGCCTGTCGCCTCAGCGCCTCCTGCCCGTCGCGATGCCTGGCTCCTCGTCACGCATAGTGGTCGATAGGGCTGCGCCCAATTCCGCATCCGTGTCTCGCGTCACGCTCAGGCTGGCCCTCGGAAGTGGGGGCGGGCTAATATATATATATATTATTATATATATATATATATGTATGTATATATATATATATATATATACATAACGGCGCACCGGGTCCGGGGGCCCGGGGCCGGGACCTCGACCGCAAATGTGGGCTCCGGGGGGCCCGGAGGCTCGTCGGGGCTTGCCGGAGGCCTCTCCGGTCAGACAAGAGGGCCCCAGAAGCGCCCAAAACGGCCCAAGAAACTTCCAAGAGGCCTCCAAGAGGGCTCCGAGATGCTGAAGATGGCCTCCAGACGTCCAAGGACGCCCCCAAGAGGCCCCAAGAAGCCTCCAACATGCGTCCCAAGAGGGCCCCCAGACGCAAAAAATTGGCCCATTCCCTTCGTAAAACGTACGTTTTCAACAAAGTTGCCTTTTGGGCTTTCCGACGTTACAGGACGGCCCAAGAGGCGCCCAAGACCGCCCCAAGACGGCCCAAGAAGCTTCCAAGAGGGCCCCAGGACAGCCCAAGAGGGCCCCAAGACGGCCCAAGAGGCGCCCAAGATGGCCCAAGAGGGCCCCAAGACGGGCCCAAGAGGGGGCCCAGAGGGGGACCACGAACCGCAAGCTCGAGCCTTCCGCCCCAAGAGGCCGCCAGGAGGCCCCCAGGAGGCCCCTCAAGAGGCCCCAGGAGACCCCAGACGTCCAAGGACGCCCCCAAGACGCCCCAAGAAGCCTCCAACATGCGTCCCAAGAGGGCCCCTAGACGCAAAAATTTGCCCATTCCCTTCGTAAAACGTATATTTTTCACAAAGTCGCCTTTTGGGCTTTCCGACGTTACAGGACGGCCCAAGAGGCGCCCAAGACCGCCCCAAGACGGCCCAAGAAGCTTCCAAGAGGGCCCCAGGACAGCCCAAGAGGGCCCCAAGACGGCCCAAGAGGCGCCCAAGATGGCCCAAGAGGGCCCCAAGACGGGCCCAAGAGGGGGCCCAGAGGGGGACCACGAACCGCAAGCTCGAGCCTTCCGCCCCAAGAGGCCGCCAGGAGGCCCCCAGGAGGCCCCTCAAGAGGCCCCAGGAGACCCCAGACGTCCAAGGACGCCCCCAAGACGCCCCAAGAAGCCTCCAACATGCGTCCCAAGAGGGCCCCTAGACGCAAAAATTGACCCATTCCCTTCGTAAAACGTACATTTTCAACAAAGTCGCCTTTTGGGCTTTCCGACGTTACAGGACGGCCCAAGAGGCGCCCAAGACCGCCCCAAGACGGCCCAAGAAGCTTCCAAGAGGGCCCCAGGACAGCCCAAGAGGGCCCCAAGACGGCCCAAGAGGCGCCCAAGATGGCCCAAGAGGGCCCCAAGACGGGCCCAAGAGGGGGCCCAGAGGGGGACCACGAACCGCAAGCTCGAGCCTTCCGCCCCAAGAGGCCGCCAGGAGGCCCCCAGGAGGCCCCTCAAGAGGCCCCAGGAGACCCCAGACGTCCAAGGACGCCCCCAAGACGCCCCAAGAAGCCTCCAACATGCGTCCCAAGAGGGCCCCTAGACGCAAAAATTGACCCATTCCCTTCGTAAAACGTACATTTTTCACAAAGTCGCCTTTTGGGCTTTCCGACGTTACAGGACGGCCCAAGAGGCGCCCAAGACCGCCCCAAGACGGCCCAAGAAGCTTCCAAGAGGGCCCCAGGACAGCCCAAGAGGGCCCCAAGACGGCCCAAGAGGCGCCCAAGATGGCCCAAGAGGGCCCCAAGACGGGCCCAAGAGGGGGCCCAGAGGGGGACCACGAACCGCAAGCTCGAGCCTTCCGCCCCAAGAGGCCGCCAGGAGGCCCCCAGGAGGCCCCTCAAGAGGCCCCAGGAGACCCCAGACGTCCAAGGACGCCCCCAAGAGCCCCAAGAAGCCTCCAACATGCGTCCCAAGAGGGCCCCTAGACGCAAACATTGACCCATTCCCTTCGTAAAACGTACATTTTTCACAAAGTCGCCTTTGGGGCTTTCCGACGTTACAGGACGGCCCAAGAGACGCCCAAGACCGCCCCAAGACGGCCCAAGAAGCTTCCAAGAGGGCCCCAGGACAGCCCAAGAGGGCCCCAAGACGGCCCAAGAGGCGCCCAAGATGGCCCAAGAGGGCCCCAAGACGGGCCCAAGAGGGGGCCCAGAGGGGGACCACGAACCGCAAGCTCGAGCCTTCCGCCCCAAGAGGCCGCCAGGAGGCCCCAAGGAGGCCCCTCAAGAGGCCCCAGGAGACCCCCAAGAGGCCCAAAGGAGGCCCCGAGAAGCCCCCAATCGGCCCCCAAAATGCTTCGAACCTGCTTCCAGGAGGCCCCCGACAGGTTCAGAGGCTCCCGAGAAGCTACGTCAAACTCCCAGCGAGAATGATCTTAGCTAGAACCTAAGCGCGCGCGAAGCGCGCGCGTGGTTCTAGTGTACATATATGCATAGACGTATGTAAAGGACAAATCTACAATATCATATAAATCCGGGCTCTGTTGAAAACCCTGGGCTCCGCCAATTCCGCTACCATTCCCGGCAAATCCCCCGTACCACTCTCCCGGGCGTCCAAGAGAGCTCTAGGAAAGCGGGGAAAGCAGGCCCAGGACGCCCCCGAAACAGCCCAAGGGTGTTCCAAATCTGTCCGAGCGTGCCCCCACCGCTCTGGATTCCCCCAACAGCGTTCAAGATCCCCCCAATATTCTTCCAAAATTCCCCTCAGCGCTCCGTCGAAGCCTTCGAGATGCCAAGATCATTGAAGAATTAAGGAACATCCGTTTCTTCGTTTTCTCGCGCCTCCGCCCCGCACACGCTTCCGAGGCTCGCGCAAGTCCCCCAAGAGAGCTCCACGTGGGCCGCAGGAGGCGCCCCGAGCGGCGAGACGTGGCCCCGGTAGGCCACACGAGGCCCCCTATGACGCCCGAAGCGGCAGCATCGAGGCCCCTGGCATCGCTCGGACGTGTGCGTTTTTTCCTCGGCGTGGACCATCGAGGAGCATCCTTGATCAGTTCGCGAAAAAAACACGCACGAAACCCAAAAAGCACAGGAAATGGACGTCCGAGCGATGGCCAGGGTCCGAGAAACGTTCCGAGCAGGCCCAAACGAGCTCCCGGGAGCCGCCTCGGAGGCATCCAGCGCCGAAGAGGGCCCCGAGAGGCCCTCAAGAGCTCCCAAGACGCCCCCAGGAGAGCTCCAAGATGTTCCCAAGAGCCGCTTGGAACGGATCTTAGGGGCATCTAGGAGCTCTCTAGGGTCCCATGCGCAAGCCGCGCAGGCGTGTCGAAGGCGGACATGCGAGAACAGTCTGATCGTAAGTGACCTTCGTTTGTGCAATGGTGTTTGCCTAACGAGAGTTTACTTGCAGATCTTGGGGGAATATATTGGGTGCCTCTGGGTCTCCGAGGCAACTTAAAAAAAGTACATTCCCTCAAATCCTTGTTTTTCAAGTGTGCCCATCCCCCTCGTTCCCTCCTGTCTCAGGTGTTGGCGTACCCCAGGTGCGTGCCTGTTTCACCCATCCCTCGTTGTCCGTTCTCATTGCTGTCTATCATCTGTTGTTGGTGTTTCTGCGTATCCCGTGCAACATCCCTCTCCTTCCTCTCACCCTCCCTCCTCCCCGCTGCGTCATTTTCCCGCCTCCCTCTTCCTCGTCTCTCCTTCACGCCTTCCTCTCTCTGCCTCCCTCACGCGTTTCCATCTCCCCCCTCCCTCAGCCTCATCTCCCCTCCGCCGTCCTCACCCAGCATCCCTCACGCCGACCCCGTTCGACATTTCGAGCCCAGACGCTAAGAGCCCCGGGAAGGCCCCCGAGGCGCATCAAAGACGTCCCCAGAGAGACCACAGGGAGACCCCCACCAAAAACCAAAGAGACCCCACCCCCTGAAACCCCAAGGAGCCCTCGATCCAAGAACGTCCCCCAAAGGCATCTAAAGAGACTCCCAGCGTAGCTTCCCCAGGCTGTAGGGAGTTCTCGGGGGGCGCGCTCAGGGGTACTGGTCCGTGAGCTGCGCGCTGAGCCTCACCTCTGTCGTTCACCGAGCCACTGGCCCACCCAGCCGGCTAGAGGCCGTGGAGGCTCGTGCACTTAGCCGAACCGTCCAGGACAAGCAAGCTGGGCGCCCGACGCATCCTCAGGGCCCTCGGGCTCTCAGACATTCTTGATCTGATGTTGTTTTCATCCTGCCTCCGTCTTGCAACACTTGCAGCGTAATTCTGGACCTGCTTCGCTGTCTGTTTCGAGTCGAGCTCGGTGCGCCTCATTGCAGACGTCGTCTGCCCAGTGGCAGCCGCTGCCGATGGCTGGCAGCACTCGCTGCTGCTGGCGGCGCGCAGACTTGGGTGTAGCGCGAGGGGGGCGGCCTTCGAGGCGTCGGACTTCTGGCAACAGCAAACAGGGTCTTTCTCGGGATGATCGTCGAACAAGGTCCTGAGGTCAGGGATCTGGACGCCCGAAATGGGTACGGAAAGAATGTGCACAATGCCCAACAGCGGTTCCTGTCCATTTTGAACAGGACTCGCTGTCGGTGTCGCCGCGGCCTGTGTACATTTGAGACAGAAGGCCGCCTGCCCAACAGCGGCCGCTGATGGTTTGGGACAGCATTTGTTGTTGGGCATTGTACCCATGTTTTCAGTACCCATTTCGGGCGTCCAAAGGGAACATTTTTCTAGCAAAGTTTCCAGCCGTAGCATCTCCTGAGTCCGTTGAGCCATGCTTCTCAAGCGCGTGCCGACGTGGCCCCTCTGCAGCGCAGCATGAGCTGGGCACTCGTGCGGACGATACCACAACGTTTCCGTAGCCATTTTGGCTCAAGCCATTCCGGGTCAAGCCATCTTAGTTCAAAGCTACGTTTTCGTTGAAGCTATTTGCTTCATTTTAGATCTCTTGCTTTACCTCCTCGCGCCATTCCTTTTCGCGCAACCATGGCCTTCATTGCGAGAGCTCTTTCGCTCGCGGGCTTGTTGATTACCGTTGGCGCGCAAGAGGCATCGGACTACAAAGAGGTCGCGCCAAATCCAAACGGCGGAGTGAATCCGAGGTGCCATGAGGTAGATCCAGCAGGCACGTGGAAAGATGTAACAGAGGCTCAATGCAAGAACTTTGTCTCGATTCAGGGTGGCCAGTTTGCAAGCAAACCAGCGAGTAACGCACCGTGGGGGTGCTCCAGGGGCGACGGGGATACTAACACGTACCAATACGTGCAGCCTGGAAATACGAATTTTAATGAGGAAAGCTCTGAGTACCACATCGTCTGCATCAAGGCCTCGTACACTGTCACTTGCCAGGGCATGACCTGCCTTGAGAGGTTCAGGCATTACTGCGAGGAGAACAAGGCAGGCTTCGGCTCCAACAATAACGCGGCGGCGTCCGCGAATTCTCCGAAGGACATCCTCGTTGCCGAGTGCCCCGACTGCGATGGCGCCGCCAGCACGGACATTTGCCCAACGAAGCTTCGCTTGTACGATGCCGCCGAGGAGGCGGAGCCGACTCCGAGGCTCGACAGGACGTCCGTGGCGGTGTCGGTCCCGCTCGGGTTGGTGTCCGCTCTCGTCGTTGTGGGTGCGCTCGTCCGCGTCTCCCGCAGCCGCGCGTCCAATGGGCCAGCGCCCGTGGAGGACGAGCAAGATTTGCTGCGCAAGTGAACGAGCACGCCTGTGGCAGCAGCTCCGGACCAGAGGAGACAGGGCTTGCCGAGTCCCGCATGCTTTTTTGAGATGCTTCTCCGCCTGACGTGCGCAATCGCTTTGCGCCAGCTCAGCGATCAAAGTTGCGTGCCTCTCTCTCTCCCTCTCTCTCGCGCGGTCTCTCATACGAACAACCGTACATCCTGCTGACCCCCCTTCCCCCCGACGCCCCTGTAGCCCTGCATCTGTATAGGGTATCTGATCTGCACTGATCCGCTCGGCGCGCAGGAAGGAGACCAACCTCCTGCAGGCTCACGGGAACTTCGGGGCTTCCCTCATTTCGAATTGAGCTTGAAGTTTCGCTAGTCGCGAGAAAGCTTCGCTCCATTTTTATGTCTGTCCAGTAAGACAAAGTCAAGGAAGGTGCATCTGCAGCGAAAAAAAAGGGCTCCAACACGTCCCAAGAGGGTCCCACGACGGCCCCAAGATGGGCCCGAGAGAGGGAGCACGAACTGACAGTTTTGTTTTTTTCTGCCCCAGAGGCCCCCAGGAGGCCCCAAGAGGCCCCAAGAAAACCCAAGGCCCCGTAGGGGGCCCCACGAGGCCCCCGACAGATCCAAAAAGCGACCCCAAAAGGCCCCTGAACGGATTCAAGTGGCTTCCAAATTGGCCACAACGACACCCCCGAGAGGCCGCCCACGATACCCAAACGAAGGTCCAGAAGGCATCTGACCCACAAGCCAGGAACGGTGGCGGGATGGACCGAAGGCTATTGGACGGCCCCGGTCTCCAGACGGCCCAAGAGGCCACCAAGATGCCCAAGAGACCTCCAAGATGTCTCCCAAGAGAGCTCGAAGAGGCCAAACAACATTGATTTTCCTAAGGTTGTTGAGCAAGTTAGCAGTTTCCGCTTGTTCCGTTTCCCGACATTGCAAGACGCCCTGAAAGGCCCCGAGGATCGCCCCAAGACGGCCCAATATGTTTCAAAAGCGTCCCAAGACGGCTTCAAAACGGCAGAAGCTTGAGATGGCCCCAAGCAAGGCCCAGGATCGGGAACGTGAACCGAGAACCCGAGATCTTCGCCACAGGAGATCTTTTAGGAGGCCTCAAGAGGTCCCCAAGAAGCCCCCAAGAGGCCCAAAGGAGCCCCCAAAGAGCCCCCAAGGGCATTAAAATTAGCCTGGCGAAGGACCCAACCATATGCAGTTGTGAGTAATGCTCGTGTGAGTACCGTCTTCGGTGGATCTCCCTATGGGGCCACGAACCGTTTGAGGGGTGTGCCGAAATTGGTGTGGGGGCGGCATGCGGACCTTGCCACTGGGGCCTTCGCTGGAGCTCCCTATGGGGCCACGAGACGTGTGAGGGGTGCACCGAAGTTGGTGTGGGGGCGGTATGCGAACGCAGCCACTGGGGCCTTCGGTGGAGCTCCCTGTGGGCCCACGAAACGTGTGAGGGGTGTGCCGAAATTGGTGTGGGGGCGGCATGCGAACGCAGCCACTGGGGCCTTCGGTGGAGCTCCCTATGGTGCCACGAAACGTGTGAGGGGTGTGCCGAAATGGGTGTGGGGGCGCATGCGAACCCAGTCACTGGGGCCTTCAGTGGAAATCCCCATGGGGCCACGAAACGTGTGAGGGATGTGCCGAAATGGGTGTTGGGGAGGCATACGAACCCTGCCACTGGGGCCTTCGGTGGAGCTCCCTATGGGGCCACGAAACGTGTGAGGGGTGTGCCGAAATGGGTGGTGGGGAGGCATGCGGACCCTGCCACTGGGGCCTTCGGTGGAGCTCCCTATGGGGCCACGAAACGTGTGAGGGGTGTGCCGAAATGGGTGGTGGGGATGCATGCGAACCCTGCCACTGGGGCCTTCGGTGGAGCTCCCTATGGGGCCACGAAAACGTGTGAGGGGTGTGCCGAAATGTGTGGTGGGGCGGCATGCGACCCTGCCACTGGGGCCTTCGGTGGAGCTCCCTATGGGGCCACGAAACGTGTGAGGGGTGTGCCGAAATGGGTGGTGGGGACGCATGCGAACGCAGCCACTGGGGCCTTCGGTGGAGCTCCCTATGGGGCCACGAAACGTGTGAGGGGTGTGCCGAAATGGGTGTGGGGAGGCATGCGGGGGCCTTCGGTGGAGCTCCCTATGGGGCCACGAACGTGTGAGGGGTGTGCCGAAATGGGTGGTGGGAGGCATGCGGACCCTGCCACTGGGGCCTTCGGTGGAGCTCCCTATGGGGCCACGAAACGTGTGAGGGGTGTGCCGAAATGGGTGTGGGGAGGCATGCGGACCCTGCCACTGGGGCCTTCGGTGGAGCTCCCTATGGGGCCACGAAACGTGTGAGGGGTGTGCCGAAATGGGTGGTGGGGAGGCATGCGAACCCTGCCACTGGGGCCTTCGGTGGAGCTCCCTATGGGGCCACGAAACGTGTGAGGGGTGTGCCGAAATGGTGGTGGGGAGGCATGCGGACCCTGCCACTGGGGCCTTCGGTGGAGCTCCCTATGGGCCACGAAACGTGTGAGGGGTGTGCCGAAACCGGTGGTGATGATGATGATGATGATGATGATGATGATGATGATGATGATGATGATGATGATGATGATGATGATGATGATGATGATGATGATGGGAGGAGGGAGGGGGGGATGATGATGATGATGATGATGATGATGATGATGATGATGATGATGATGATGAATGATGATGATGATGATGATGATGATGATGATGATGATGATGATGATGATGATGATGATGATGATGATGGGAGGAGGGAGGGGGGGGAGGAGGAGGAGGAGGAGGAGGTGAGGAACGCGGGGCGCCGTCTCTTCAAAACGAGGACCCAACACCACAGGATGGTTGGGGAAAGAGAGGATTCCAACACTTGTTTTTGTTTTCTAAGTTCGCCTGGCAGCTTGGCTACGCTTGCATACAAAGGAAATATCATATTTATGCCTCCTCTTCCTCCTCCGCCTTTTCCTCCTCCTTGTCCTCCTCTGCAGCCTGCCTGCTCCTCCTCCTCATCCACCCCCTTCTCCCCCAGGAAATCCCTTCACTTCCCTGCCTCTGGCAACGTCCAGCCGCGGCGAAGAGAAGGACCCCCGACGTGTTTCTTGGGCCTGTCTTAGGCCGCCGTGGGTGGACCGTAGGAAGTTTTGAAAGCCACTTGGGCCGTCCTCGGATTTCTTGGAAGCCCCGGAGAATAATTGTCATATAGTAGAAGCCCCCGAGAGTTCGACCATCCATCCTAGCCAGAACTTGAACGAGCGCGAAGCGCGCTCGATGGTTCTAGTATATATATATATATCACACATCCATACACACATACATACATACATACATACATACATACATACATACATACATACATACAGACAGACAGACAGACAGACAGACAGACAGACAGACATACATACATGCATACACACATACATGCATACATACATATATAATGCATACATACATGTACTTACATGTATGTGTATACACGTATGTATGTATATATGTACGTATATATATACACAATTACAAATCGTTATGACGACGATGATTCCGCGGAGGAAAGAAGAACCGGGTGGAATTGGAGGTTCGAAAAGCTTGGTTGGCAAGAAGTGGGGAAAGATGAAACTGGCAAGCGTGGGCGCGGACGCTGCCAACCCGCACCCAGACAGTATGTCGATTGTTTTCCGATTGCCTTGCGAAATTGTCGCATGCGTTTGGTATCATTCCGAACAAACACTGGGTTTTCCTGTTTGGCATCTGGCTCGCGATGCGTAGATGCCACATGTGTTCGCCCTGATCCCGATATCCTGATGCCTGGTGCAATGCAGGCGACGTCGTGAAACATCAGACCCGGGCTCCCGAGATAGGGCACACAAAAACCATCGCACACTTTGGATTTCTTCGCGAGATTCCCGGCTGTCAGAGACGAGCCGTGGCCCAGCGCCATGCGGCATCCCGTGCTGTAATTTAGTTTCGACTTCACTTCAGAGCAGTAGTATGATACGTTCAGATAGTTCCAGGCTTTCCTCTTGCCTTAGTTTCCGCCACAGAATGAGCACAAACACCGCTCAGTGGATTGCTCCTGGACCTAAGGGGGAGTGGCGGTGTATCAGTCACCACTGAGAGCTACCGAGTTTACACACCGTCCCCTCCTGAAGGTAGATGCGAAGTTCGTCGGAGGGCGTCTGTGTACACATTCTCGTGGCGTGCATTCGGATTCCAAAAGCGGGGACCGCACGCATCATGATAACACTGTACCATTACGTCATTTTCTATCATCGCCCCGGCGACCGCGAGCACGACGACGACAAAAGCGACGACGAGGGAGGCGGCGGCGACCACGACATCGCTGACAACGACGACGACCACGAGGCGGACGACGAACGTGGCGACGGGAACGACGACCGTGATGACCAAGACGATGACGACGACGACGACGACGACGACGACGACGACGACGACGACCGAGGGGGACGACGAGCGTGATGACCGCGACGACGACGACGACGAGCGCGACGACGATGGCGGCCACGACGAAACCGATGGCGACGAACACGATGGGCATGCTGAGCTGCGCGCGGGACGGCGCTCGCCTCCCCGCGTTGTTCTCGGCCGCTTGGGTCTTCCCCGTCGTCCTATTTCCGCCCGTTGCGTTCGTCTTCGCCTTGGTTTTCCTCGTAATGGTCTGGTCTTCGGTCTCGTTCTGGCTGCCTTGATCTTCCTCGTCTTGGGCTCGTTTTGGCTGCCTCGGTCTTCCCCGTCGTCCAGCTTTCGCCCGTTGCGGTCGTCTTGTCCCGCGCCCTCGGCGTGTGGTCTTCCGACGAGCACCGACGACGTGCAGCTTGCAGAAGCACGACTGTTCGGAGCTCCGCGCGGATTGCCTCCGGCGCCGGGTCCCCCTGGCGGTGCATCCGGCGCCACCCCCTGGCGCGGGATGGGGCCCAGCGCAGATGCAAGAAATCCGCGCGGACCTCCGACACTTCGTGTTTGCGCAATCATCTATTCTTCTAGAATGGCCGAGTCGCTGGCCAGGGCTCGACCTGAACGGGATGCTGGCGATCACGAGTGCCCCGTTCGTTTGGTTTTCGTTTTGCAGCAAAGGCGGAGCGAAGACAAAGCGATGGAGCAAGAGAGAAAAACGAGCAGGAACACTGTTTATCCTTAAAGTGCGCGCGCGCTGAAGGAATATGCCTCACTGTACACTTCCAGTGGCGGGCGCATTCTGGCCATACCATACCGTTCGGGAAACGATCCGCTACAAGATATATTTGGACTGCACCTTCGGATCGGACGTGCGCTTCCAACAGCGGCACATCTTCCTCCTCCTCCCTCCTTCATCCTCCTCTTTCCTCCTCCCTCCTCCCTCCTCCCCCTCCTCATCCTCCAGCATGTTTGTGTGCATCCCACGTCTGTGTCGAGCCCTGCTCCAGGCCCTCCTCCTCTTCCTTCTCCTCCTCCTCCTCCTCCTCCCTCCCTCCCTCCCTCCTCCCTCCTCCTCCCTCCCTCCCTCCCTCCCTCCTCCTCCCTCCCTCCCTCCCTCCCTCCTCCTCCTCTCTCCTCCTCCTCCTCCTCCTTCCTCCTCCGTCCTCCTCCTCCTCCTCCTCCTCTCCTCCCATCTCCCTCCTCCTCCCTCCTTCTTCCTCCTGCCCCTCCCTCCTCCCCCTCCTCCCTCCTCCAGCGTGTTGTTGTGCGTCCCCTGCCTGGTGCGGAGTCCTGGGTCCGACGACGCGTGGAGGCTTATCCCGTGCTGGTTAGGTTCATTGCCGCCGAAAGTCACAGATACCTGGAATCCGGCAGCTTCCATCATCATCTGAACGAGCTTAGCAGCGCCGTTATCCTCAGCTGCCGAGCGCTAGTCATGATCTGCAGATCGCTGAGCAGCAGCAAACTCAGCTTCACCAGTGTCTAAAGTTCGCAGGCGACTGTTCCCCCCCAGTCCCCGAGTTCCGCGCCCGAAAAGTCTGGCCGCTCAGAAAAAGGGGGGAACTCTGGGATACACCCGAAGGGGGCTACTCGGACGCACCCCTATCGAGCATGGACGCCCCCCCATCGTATATCCCAGGGTTTGGCCGCAAATGTTTGCCAGGAGGGGAAAAGCACACAGACACAATTCATCGGCGATTCCCAGAAACTATGGGAAAATATGGGAAGTGGGGGGGGAAGACAAAAACACAGAACACACGGGAAACTATGGGGAGTATCTTTATTGAATCGCTTCGCTCATTCCGCCGGCCCGTGATATGGCATCGCTGGTTTTTGTCTGTGTGTTCGTTGCCCATGTTGCGCTCTTGGGGGCGGGTGTCGTTCGGACGCGTTGCGTGGGGAGTTTTGATGGTGAAGCAGTTCCCTGGGGGTCGTCTCTCGATGGGGCGAAATAGAGTCGTCGTCAAGATGCTTCTTTGGGGGGCCTCTTGGGGTCTGTTGAGAGGCCGTTCGGGGGCGCCTGGGAGACATGTTTGAAGCCTTCTGGGGCTTCTTTTGGGCCTCCTGGGAGTCTCCTGGGGCCTCTTGGCGACATCTTGGGGCCTCTTGGAGGCCTCTTGGGGCCTCTTTGGGACCTCCTGGGCGCCTTCTGGGACGGAGGGCTCCATTTTTGAGTTCTCGGTATCCCTCCTGAGTCCCTCTTGGGCCCGTCTTGGGGCCTCTTGGTCCGTCTTGGGCGGCACTTGGGCCGTCTTGAGGGCTCTCTTGGGTCGTTTCGGCGCCGTCTTGGGAGCTTCGTGGGCCGTCTTGGAGCGGTCTTGGGGGCCTCTTGGGCCGTCTTGGAGCGTCCGGAAGCCGAAAAAGCCAGAACACAAAAAACATCGAAAAAACCAATGAAAATCAACGATTTTGGCCTCTTGGGGCTCTCTTCGGAGGCCTCTTGGAAGGCTCTTGGGGCGTCTTGGAGGCCTCTTGGGCTGTCTTGGGGGCCTTTTGGGCCGTCTTGGGGTCATCTTCGGCGTCTTCGAGCGCTCTTTGGGCGTCTCGGGGGCCTCTTGGGCAGTCTTGGGGGCCTCTTGGGGCACTCTGAGCGCGCTCTGGGGAGCCTGAGAGGCCGCACCCAGAAGGAAAACCATCTCTGAGTAGACTTGGTCGGGCGGCGGTCGGGCGGCGGTCGGGCGTTGGTCGGGGTACTTTTCGCCGGGGGCCCCTGGGGCCGCCCCGCGCGCGCGAACTAGAAATACTGTTAATACTGATAACCAGTTACCGGAGATCTTAGCACGCCCTGGCCCGTTGGGCCGGCGAATTTGTGTGCATATTTACTCGTGTGTCCTGGGGCCCCTTCAGTTTGGTCCAGTCGAAATCACCACGAAGCCTGGGATAGGGGTCGAGATACCCCCTGTGAAGAGTCACGGTCGCCCAAGAGGGCCCTGGCTCCGGGGGCCCTCGGCGGCGCGCCCGTTCCGGGGGGGGGGGGGGCGGGGCGGGGGCGGGCCTCGGAGGGCGGCGGGGCTCCTCGTAAGCGCTCGCGCCTTCTGGGCAGTGCTCTGTGCCTTGGAGACTTGCGTCGGGCCTGTCGCCCTACAGGAAGAATGTTCACAAACATGTGTTGTTTTTTATCGGGGGTGGACAGAACCCCCAACAGTGACACGTCGATTCGTGAATTGTCCGTTGTCGGTTCTCGAGGGGGCGCCGTGGCCGTTATGTTCCAGGCCTGCGCCCGCCAGGTTTGGGCCTAGGGTCGTTTTCGCTAAGCCACGTTTTACTAAAGGGAGGTCTGTCCATCCCCAACGTAAGCGCTCGCGCTTTCTGGGAAGTGCTCTGTGCCTTCGAGACTTACGTCGGGCATGTCGCCCTACAGGAAGAATATCAGAAACTATGCGGTTTTTTAATACAAAAAATAGCCTGGTGATGATGTGTTGATCATTTTTGAACATATGTTGGCCTATATGGGGGACAGGCCCGACTTAAAGTTAGATTCATGATGTTCCAACCTACTTTAGCCTTGACAACCAGAAGGAACATTCCGAGCACCAAGAAAATACCGAAATTGGAGGGTATTCACGTGTCGGCGCCTTCAGGGAAGGCTTAGACCTATGATGTTCCAAACCTAGTTTCGCCCTGAGCACCAGAAAAAACTTCGAGCACCAGGAAGGTACCGAAACTGGAGGGTAGATTCACGTGGCGGGCCGTGGGAGGCGGTGCTCGGTCGATATTCTGGGTGCTCGAAGTCATGTTTAAGTTCTAGGCTTCCCAGATGTGGTCAGAGTAGGGTCGGAGGATCGCGGCGCATCGGCAATGCATCGGCGATGCATCGGAGATGCGGCTCGATGTGGGGCATGATTTTCCCCACGCCGACGTCGCCGATGCATCGCCGACGTCGCCAGTGCATGGCCGATGCATGGCCGATGCATCGCCGATGTATCGGCGATGCGGCCCGATCCCCCGACCCCATCTACTCCGACCCCATCTAGGAGGCCTTTGCAAGTGCGATGAGAGCAACATGAGCTTAGACCACCTCTCCAGGAGGCAGGAGGCGTGCCGAGCCTTCTGAGAAGGCCCGCGCTCCCGCGGACGCCCGGTGGTCCTGGGCCCACGGCTCGGCGCTCCCGAGTCCGCGCGGCAGGATATGGGCGCCCCCAGGGCGCGCTCGTCGAGGCGCAGCTGTTGGAAAACACCCCGAGGCTGGAATGACGGGCCTGTTTTACACCACCACCACCACAAGTGGGAGGAGGGAAGGGGGAGTTGTAGGATGAGGAGGAGGAGGACGAAGAGGAGGAAGAGGGAGGAGGAGGAGGAGGAGGAGGACCCCCTCCCCCTCCAACTTCTGGTGGTGGTGGTGGTGGTGGAAAACAGGCCCATCATGGAAAGCCGCCGAAGACGGACGAACACACACGAAAAGCGAGCAGGGGATCGATTCCAGCATTCATTTACATTGCTTTGTCCGTCGGTGTGCGAAAAAATAAAAAGAATGCCCATCAGATCTACGGAGCATCCGACGCATGTTCCGTTCACTCGGCGGGAAGCCAGTTTTGGGGTGAATCAATTCTGCAGATGATCCCCTATTCGAGAGCATTGAACATTTCAAAACCTCAAACTTTCCCCCCCGGGGATCGCCGCCGAGCGGCCTTTGCCGCTTCCTTCTCGGGGGGGTTCGTAGTGGTGGGTTGAGGGCAAACCCAGATGGATGCTCACATTCCCTTCTCACACGGACCGTTTGTTTAGAGATTTTCCTATGACCCCACCTATTCCTCTACACTGGAAGCCCGTGCCAAGAAACACCCTGCTTGCCTCCAGGGTGCCATGGATTTGTGGGTTTCCATGGTTTTGCTGCGGAACGCGTGACGTTCCCACCACGAATCAATGGACGTCCCGGGGTCTCAAGGTTGATTTTCTGATGGTCGAGATCATACTGTACCCAAGGCGGGGTTGGGGAGCATACCCAGCTGGATACTCACATTTCCTTCTCTCACGGGCCGTTTGGTAAGCGATTTTTCCACTGACCCCACCTCTTCCCCTGACCCTTTTGTACCTTGGCATCCCTCGGACGTGTGCATTTCTTCTCGGCGAGGACTATCGAGGAGCCTTTTGGGCCATCTTCCGAAAACTACACGCACCAAGCCGACACACGCATGGGGAATCTACGTCCGAGCGATGGCGAGACACGTCCCCCCGATGCGGGCCCGCCTCCCCCCACCTGCACGTTCAAGTCGGGGATTCCCTCCCAATCATGTTCTTCTGATCATACGGCGAGCACGCTTTGATTTGTGTTCCTCTCTTCGGTCAAGCTCCGCCTGCAGGAGGACGTGGCCGACCTAGGAAGCCATTTCTTCATTGCTTGGGGCATGACGGGCGTCATGGCCCCCGCTCTCCCCCCCCTATGACGTGACGCTCCCCCCCCCCAGTGCGCTCCGGGCACTGCCGCCGTGCGCATTGGGAGCCGCGTAGGTGTCCGCGTAGGAATCCGCATAGGTGCCTGGTCCGCAGGCGTCGTCGTCGTCGTTGTCGCCGTCGTCCTCCGCGCGACGAGCAGCGCCGCGCGGGGCGGCGGGCAGCGGCAGGCGCCGCCCCCGAGGGACCCGCGCGAGGCGCGGAGCCCGCCCGGGCCGCCGGCTGCTGTGGCCGCCGCGCTCCGCCGCCGCCTTCGCCGTCGGGCTCGCCGTCGCCGCCGTGGTCGTCCCGTGGGGCGGAGGAGGAGGAGGCGCCGATGCCGCTGCCCTTCCCTCGTCCCTCCTCCTCCTCCTCCTGCTCCTCCTCCTCCTCATCCGTTTCCTCCTCCCCCTCCTCCTCCTCCTCCTCCTCCTCCTCCTCCTCCTCCTCCTCCGTTTCCTCCTCCTCCTCCTCCTCCTCCTGCTCCTCCTCCTCCTCCCCCTCCCTCCTCCCCCCCTCCCTTTTCCCTCCTCCGGGCCTCCCATCGGAGGATGACAAGGTGCTGATACCGCTACCCTTCCCTCGATTTCGCCTTTCCAGTGCCTCCTGGGAGGCCCTCGCTGCCACCGCTGGATGAACGCACCCCAGGAGAGGTCCGCGGAGCAGCTGTATCGGTACTCATCGGCTTCCCCGCTAAGACCTTGGCGCTGCAATTGTTTCGAACATGGCATTTTCGCCAGGTTTCGGGCCCCGGGACCCTCACAGATCGATGGCGTTCGAACAATGGCCAGCAAGACGATGATTCTTTACTGTCTTTCAAGTTCTCGCCATCGTGTTCGTCGTCGCCGCCGCTGCAGTCGTTCGGGTCTAGCCTCTCAGATGGGGTCCGCGTAGATGGGGTTCGGAGAATCGCGCCGCATCGCTGATGCATCGGCGATGCCGCTCGCTGAGGAGCCTGAGTTCTTCCACGCCGACGTCGCCGAGTCGTCGCCGACGTCGCTGCATCGCCGATGCCTCGGTGATGCATCGACGACGTGGCGCGATCCTCCGACCCCGTCTGCGCGGACCCCCCATCGGAGGAGGGCCCGTCGAGCCGCCCGACGGCGGCCCTCCCCAGCGTTTCTCTGCCTCGTTGGCCCGATCGGGGTCCTCGGGATGTCGTGTGATGTCTCCGGGTCCCTGTGGGAGTTCTGTCTCGTCCTCCTGGTCCTCGTCCTCATCCTCGTCGACCTCATCCTCGTCGACCTCCTCGTCATTATCCTCCTCCTCCTCCTCCTCTTACTCCTGTTTCTCCTCCTCCTTCTCCTCCCCATAGGTTCCCAATCGGACCCGACCAGCCCCACAGTGGGATTCCAGTGAGGTTGATTCCGCGCCCCCGCGCGGGACGTTGTTCATCAAGTGGCTGGCGCCAGCCCGCCGACCATGAGAAGCGAAGTCCACGGGAGGGGCCTTTTGTTCCTCTTGGGATACTGTCCGAGGGGCCTGTTGGGGCATCAACACGTTTTTTGCCAACGCCTGCACGGGCATCCGTGCAGGAGAGTTTCATGAAGGCACGTGTTTCTCTGACGATCTCAATGCCTGGTGGTCTGTTACTGCGGACGTCACAGATGCGAGTGGTTTCCCTCTGATGCGCCGGTGCCAGGCGTCTCTTCACGCCTGGGGCCGTGCAAGCAGAGTGCAGTCTGATCATGGGAAGCTTCGAGTCTCGTGGGCGCCTGTGGGCCTGGTCTGGGGCTCGCTTTGGCCGTCGTGGGGCCCTCTTAGGGACCTCTTGGGCCGTGCTGGAGCGATCTTGGGGGCCGATCGAGCCGCTTTTGGCGCCGTTGAGACCAGAAGGGTGGATGTGTTGAATCAGCTTGGCAAAGGACCCAATCAAATGCAGCTGTGAGTACCGCAGTCGTGAGTGTCGTCTTCGATGGAGCACCTTAAAGGGGCAAGCAAACGTGTGAGGCGTGTGCCAAACTGGGATGGCGGCGGCGCGCGGGCGCTGCCATTGTTGCCTTCGGTGGAGCTCCCTGTGGGGGGCACGCAACGTATGAAGGGTGTGCCGACATAGGTACAGCGGGCGCATGCGAGCGTTGCCTTTGGGGCCTTCGGTGGAGCTCTTTGAAGGGGAACGTAACGTGTGAGGAGTGCGCCGAAATAGGCGCGGCGGGCGCATGCGAACGCTGCCTTGTTGGCCTTCGGTGAAGCTTTCTACGGGGACCACGAAAGTTGTGCGGGGCGTGCCGCAATCGCAATGAGTACGGCGGGCGCATGCGGGCGTTGCCTTTGGGGCCTTCGGTGGAGCTCCTTATGGGGCTACGAAGCGTGTGAGGGGTGTGCCGACATGAGTGCGGCGGGCGCACGCGGGCGTTGCCTTGTGTGCCTTCGGTGAAGCTTCCTATGGGCTATGGGGACCACGAAACGTGTCAGGGGTACGCCGACATGGGTCTGCTGGGTACATGTGGGCGCTGCCTTTTGGGCGGGTTCCCTGCGGGGCCACGAAGCGTGTGAAAGGTGCCGACATGGGTGCGGCGGGCGCATGCGGGCGCCGCCTTTTGGGCCTTCGGTGAAGCTCCCTATGGGGGCCACCAAACGTGCGAGGAGTGTGCCGACATGGGTGCGGTGGGCGCATGCGAGCGTAGTCATTAGGCCTTCGGTGGAGCTCCCTGCGGGGCCACGAAAAGTGTGAGGGGTGTGCCGAAATAGGCGCGGCGGGCGCATGCGGGCGCTGCCTTTTGGGCCTTCGGCGGAGATGCCTGTGCTGCCAAATAACGTGCGAGCGGTGCGCCGACAGGAGTGCGGCTGTGGGCGCATGCGAGCGTAGCCATTGGGGCCTTCGGTTGAGCCCTCCTATGCAGACCACGAAACGTGTGAGGTGTGTCCCAAGATGGGTGCGGCAGGCGCATGCGGGCGCTGCCTCATGGGCCATCGGTGGAGCTCCCTATGGGGCCAGAAAGGGTTTGAGGCGTGTGCCAAAATGGAGCGGCGGGTGCATGCGGGCGCTTCCTGTTGGGTCTTCGGCGGAGCCCCCTTTTTATGGGGGAGGCGCAACGCGTAAGGCGTGTGTGTGTGTGTGTGTGTGTGTGTGTGTGTGTGTGTGCGAAGATGGGCGCGGTGGGCGCATGCAGGCGTTGCCTTTTGGGCCTTCGGTGGAGCTCCCTATGGGGCCACCCACGGAACGTGGGCGGGGTGTGCCGATTTTCTGATTGGTGACATGCGAACGCAACGATTTGGGTCGTCACCAGATGATGATGATGATGATGATGATGATGATGATGATGATGATGATGATGATGATGATGGTGATGGTGATGGTGATGGTGATGGTGGTGGTGATGGTGATGGTGATGGTGATGGTGATGGTGATGGTGGTGGTCATGCTAATGATGATGATGATGATGATGATGATGATGATGATGATGATGATGATGATGATGATGATGATGATGGTGTTGCGCATAATCATGAGTATGATGGTGTTGTTGTTGTTGATGGTGACTTTGGTTTTGTTAATGATGACAACGGTGGTTATGATGATTCGGATTAATCGGATGATTAGGCTGATGCTGATGATACTGTTGATGGTGGCGGTGATGGTGATGGTAATGGCGATCATGATGACGATGCCAATGACGATGACACTACCGACGACAATACCGATGACGTGGATGACGTGGATGATGATGATGCCGATGATGATGGTGGTTGCTGTGGTGAAGATGGCGATTTCGACGATGATGACGATGGTGGTGACAACGACGATGGAGATGACGATGACAATGGCGACGGTGATGCTGTAGACGTTGATGGTGGTGATGATGATGATGATGCCTAGGATGGCGATGATGGTGATGGTGATGATGAGGATGACCACGACGACGAGGACGATGACGATGACGACGAAGATGATGATGATGATGCCGCTGACGAAGCTGATGCTGATGATGGCGACGATGGTGGTGGCGGTGATGCTGATGATGATGACGATGATGCTGATGATGACGATGATGATGGTGATGGTGAACACGACGACGAGAGTGATGATGACGATTGTGGTGGTGGTGATGGTGATGATAACGAGAAGAAGATGCGGAGTACGGAGGGTCGAGGCAAGGATGGGGGGAGGGAGGAGAGCGAGGAGGAAGGAACGCAGGGCGCTGTCTCTTCGAAACGAGGACCCACCACCGCATGATGGTTGGGAAATACGTGCTCCTTCGGGATTGGGGCGATTTTGGCAACTTGGGGCTCTCTTGGGGGTTCTCTAGGAGCTTTCTGGGGACGTTTTGAAGGCTTTCAGGGAGTCTTTTGACTACCTTGGTTTCCTTGGCGTGTTGGAGCCCAGCTTGTGCAAGCTTGCACGGAATCTCAGGCATCTTGGAAACCACGAAGTGTAGACATGCAAGCTCCGGAGGCCCCCCGCGACCCCCCCGCGACCCACCCGCGGCCCACCCCGCTCCCGACCCTTCATTCTTATACGCAACTGCGGGGTGCTGCATATACGTACGTGTATGTTCATTGTTCTCTCTCTCTCTCTCTCTCTCTCTCTCTGGTTCTCCCCACTTGCCAGCCTACTGAGCTTCTCTCCACACCTGCATGCCTAAGCCACCCATGACTGCCTGTCTTTTTGCGCCCGCGCCCCCCCATGCCTGGGTCTGTTTGTCAGTCGTTATCCTCCTGCTCTTCTGCATGTCCTGGCCGCTCTCTTTCCATCATGTCTTCTCCGTTCGTCCTGTCGACAAGATGTCCCGCGTGCCCTGTTTGAGGTTCATCCCCTGTGGGCCTCCGAGGAAGTTCTCGTTCAGCAGTGGTGGGTTCCCTTCGGAGTTCTGGTCTGCACGCACTTTTGGATCATGTTGACCCCAGAACCCAAACATCTGGCGACTCGAACGAAGCAAAATGCGCTGCAGGCTTCTCGCCATGGCGTCTGCAGGCCAGGCAGTTTCCAGGATCGGGGGCAGTCGGACAAACAGTTCAGGATTAACAGCACCTTTCCCTTGAAGGGATGAAGACCCTGGGGGCCAGCGAGTCGAACAAAGCCAAGTCCTCGAGGCTCTGAGCCTACTTTCCCTTGTCGTGCGCCCTATCATATCAGGTCCTGCCTATTCCTTTGTTGCACCCTGGCCGGACTGCCGCCCCACCGCTGGAATCGGGCAAACAGATCATTGAGAGAAACAGGAGGAGGAGGTGGAGGAGGAGGAGGAGGAGAGGAGGAGGAGGAGGAGCAAGACGACGACTTCACCTCTGTGGCAACGAGGGCGGACATGGGGATCACTTTTTCGCGCGCTGCCAATGATACCGTAAGGGCTTCGCCCCATGCCAGGGAACCTCTGCACCCCTCAGTGCTGAGCTTCCCTGGCATCCTCAGCACCCTTGCCGTCGGCGGCTCTCGTGCCCTTTCGCCGGCACTGGACGGCGACCACGACCGAGGGCGGCTGCGCCTCCAGAGGAGACGGCGACGGCCGCAGCACCGCAGCCCGTCCCTCGTCGCCGCGGTTGGCTTCGCGCCGACATCGTGGTCGGGACGCACCCCCGGGAGAGGCCCGTGGAGCCGCGCTCTTGGCAGGACGGACCCCTCGGGCGGGGCGCGCACGCCGGGCGGCCGCTTTGCCCCTCCTCCTCCTCCTCCCTCCTCCTCCTCCTCCTCCTCCTCCTCCTCCTCCTCCTCCTCCTCCTCCTCCTCCTCCCCCTCCCCCTCCCCCTCCTCCTTCTCCTCCTCCTCCTCCTCCTCCTCCTCCTCCTCCTCCTCCTCCTCCTCCTCCTCCTCCTCCTCGCATGCTCGGCCGCCGAGTGCGCAGCCCGCGGCGCAGCCCGAGGGCAGGCCGTGGTGTCTCTTCGGCCGGCGAGCGCGCCGCCGCTGGCGCAGCGGAGCTGCAGGCCGTGCCCTCCGTCTCGTGCTCGCGCAGGCTTCTGGGTGCTCCACCCGTGGCGGAAGGTCCGTGCCCTCCTCCTCCGGAGCCTCTGGAGCCTCGGCGGCCGCAGTCCATCCTCGAAAGACTGGCCCTCCCCCTCCTCCTCCTCCTCCTCCTCCTCCTCCTCCTCCTCCACCTCCACCTCCTCCTCCTCCTCCTCCTCCTCCTCCTCGTCCTCATCCTCCTCCTCCGCCTCCTCCTCCTCCTCCTCCTCCTCCCCTCCTCCTCCTCCTGCCTCCTCCTCCTCCTCCGCCTCCTCCTCCTCCTCCTCCTCCTCCTCCATCCTTATTCCTTATTAGAATATACTCCTACTCCCCCCTCAGGCCGGCAGATAGGGGCCCATCCGGGTGGTCCCATCCTAACCTGTAAAAAAACAATACAAAATCAACATGTTTCTTATTTTTTCCTCTCGACATGGACGTCCTGTCGTCCACGGCGATAATCCATTGCAAAAAATACCACAAAGAGCACACGCGCGCGTTCATGTCAGAATCCTACCGAACACCGTGTGTTTGCAAGCATTTCAACATAAAAACATCAAAAACCCAATGCTTTTTCACAAAAATTCTACACATTTCCTGCCCGGGCTCTCTTGCTGAAATCATAGGAAAACCATAGGAATCTTAAGAATTCTGTCAAATCCAGCGATTTCACGTCATCGCGCGGTGCACTCGCGATGCTCTGTCATGCACCCAGGCCGCGAATCCTGTGCAAAAAATACCACGCGGGCGACATGCGCGCGCGTCGCCGCGAGCGCATGCTCAAATCCTTCTAGAGTCGTCGCCGTCATTGGCACCGTCGCATGGACGTCCTGTCGTCCACGTCGCAAAATGCATGGCAGGAATGGGACCCGGCTTACCGGGCCGTTCTCGACACGGCCACCTCTGGCTTCCTGCGGTGTACCGGGCCATTCTCGACTCGTCTGGCAATGCGTGCGCGGCATTCAACACGCGCTCGCCAGTTCCCGTCGGCAACCGCCATCGCGGCCGCATCAGCTGTACCAAACCGGCTGGCCGGTGTGACTTCGGCCCCCAGTTGTGCCAGCTTTGCTTCTTATGTTGTGGGAGGGCGGGTGGGACTGGGCATGCCATGCTTGACTCGCTCGAGCTGGCTAGCTTGACTCCTCCTCCTACTCCTACTCCCCCTTCCTCCCCCTCGTCCTCATCCTCCCCCTCTCCTCTCCCTCCTCCTCTTCCTCCTCCGCCTCCTCCTCCTCTCCCTCATGTCTTTCTCCTCCCCCTTCTCCTGCTCCCTCTCCTCCTCCTCCTCCTCCTCCACCTGCTCCTCCTCCTTCCCCTCCTTTCCTTCCTCCTCCTCCTCCTCCTCCTCCTCCTCCACCTGTTCCTCCTCCTCCTTGGCCGTCGTGTGCGCCGTGTGGCACAAACCATGAATGGAACTTTTCCCGTCGGCGGCGAGGCAGAGGCAGTCCGCACCAGCGTGGGGCTCATCAAGGGCACCGATGGGCAGATGGTCCGCGGGGGGAGCAGGAAGGAGGCGGTTCAGACGTGGAGGAGTTCCATGAATGGAACATGGTGCAACGCATTGACTTGGCATCGCTCGGACGTGTGCATTTTTCCCTTCGGCGAGGTCCATCGAGGAGCACCCTTGATCATTTCGCGAAAAAACCACGCACGAAACCGAAAAAAACACAGGAAATGGACGTCCGAGCGATGGCCAGTTGATGGCCCAACCAACGGCGTGATCCGATGCTGGTGGCGGGACCCATGGATGGCGCAGCCCGTGGCGCAGCCGCGCATGGCGCAGCCCGTGGTGCGCCACATGGGCGGCACAGGCCCCACCAGGCCGGCTCTGCAGGGCTGCGCCTGCGCCCCGATGCTCGCCGCGTGGGCTCTCTGGCGCGCCCAGGCGGGCAGCTGCCGCGTGACCCCTTCTGCACCTCCAGGCCTGCAGGGCCCAGGCTGCTCCGACCGATCCGATCTGCTATCGGGTCCAGCCTGCCCGAGCCGGTTCGATGTCGACGTTCCGGCGATCCGGTGCGGTGTTGCTCGAGGGAGAAAGAACGGCACAAGCATATTTGTTTGGCGCTCCGCGCGGATTTCTTGGATCTGCGCTGGACCCCCCCTCCCTGGCGCGCGGAGCGGGCCAGGGGCGTCGCCGGAGGCGCCGCTGGGGGGGGCCAATGCGCCGATCCAAGAAATCCGCGCGGAGCGCCAAAAGTGGCGTTCTTTCATCTTCCAGTGTTGTGCAGGCTGTCGCCGCCGATCCGAGTCGGTTTCGACTCCGTCCGATGCAGCCCAGTCCGATGCGCACCTCGACTTCTGGTGTTCCAACCTACTTTAGCCTTGGTCACCAGAAATAGTTTCGAGCACCAGGGAAGTGCTGCAGCTTGAGGGTTTTCGCGTGTCGGGCCCTGCGAGGCGATACTCGTTCGCCATTGTTCCGATACTCTTCTGGGAGCTCGAAAGTATGTTGGGGATCTGGTCCTTAAGTACGATGGAAGCAACATGAACCTCGATTTCATTCGACTTGCCGATGCGATGCTGGCTGGTCTTGCCCTCCGCCGAGGCGCTGCGGGACTCCGAGAGCGCCGTCCTGGAGGTGGAGGCGGCCCGGGAGACCCGCATGCGGGCGGCGGTGCCACCGGGGCCTTCCGTAGAGCTCCTTATGGGCCCACGAAAAGCTGCACTGGGTGGGGGGTCGCATGCCCGCGGGCCACTGGAGCCCCCCACGGGGCCACGAAACGCTGCCCCGGGTGGGGGGGACGCATTCGGGCGGTGCTACTGGGGCTTGGTGGACCTCCCGAACAATGGGACCGCGAAATGCAGTACTGGGTAGTGGACGACGCATGCGGGCGGTGCCACTGAAGTCTTTCTGTGGAGCTCCCTACGGGGCCACGAAGCGCTGTACTCGGTGCGGCGGGCGCATGTGGCCACCCCGGACCCCCAATGGAGCCTTGGGTGGAGCTCCCTATCGGGCCACGAAGCGCTGCACCGGGTGTGGCCGACGCATTCCGTCACCCCCACTGGGTACTTAGGCGAAGCTCCCTATTGGGTAACGAACCGCTGTGCTGGGCGTGGCGGAAGCATGTGGCCACCCCCACTTGGGCCGCATGTGGTCCGTGTGGGGCCACGAAGCACTGCACTGGGTGTGGCGGACGCATGCTGCCACCCCCACTGGGGCCGCTGGTGGAGCTCCGAGTGGGGCCACGGAACGCTGCACTGGGTGTGGCGGACGCATGCTGCCACCCCCACTGCGGACTTGGGTGGAGCTCCCTATGGGACCACGAAGCGCTGTAGTTGGTGTGGCGGACGCATGTGGCCACCCCCATTGGGGCCTTGGGTGGAGCTCCCTATGGGGTCACGAAACGCTGTACTGGGTGTGGCGGACGCATGTGGCCACCCCTACTGGGGCCTTAGGTGGAGCTCCCTATGGGGCCACGAAGCGCTATAATGGGCGTGGCGGACGCATGTGGCCGCCCCCCCCCCCGGGGCCTTAGGTGGAGCTCCCTACGGGGCCACGACACGCAGTACTGGGTGTGGTGGACGCATGTGGCCACCGCCATTGGGGCCTTGGGTGGAGCTCCCCATGGGGCCACGGAACGCTGTACTGTGTGTGGCGGACGCATGTGGCCACCCCTATTGGGGCCTTAGGTGGAGCTCCCTATGGGGCCACGGAACGCTGTAGTGGGTGTGGCGGACGCATGTGGCCGCCCCCCCCCCGGGGCCTTAGGTGGAGCTCCCTATGGGGCCACGACACGCAGTACTGGGTGTGGCGGACGCATGTGGCCACCGCCATCGGGGCCTTGGGTGGAGCTCCCTATGGGGCCACGAAGCGCTGTACTGTGTGTGTGGCGGACACAATGTGGCCACCCCTACTGGGGCCTTAGGTGGAGCTCCGAGTGGGGCCACGGAACGCTGTAGTGGGTGTGGCGGACGCATGTGGCCACCCCCACCGTGGCCTTAGGTGGAGCTCCCTATGGGGCCACGAAGCGCTGTACTGGGTGTGGCGGGCGCATGTGGCCACCCCCATTGGGGCCTTAGGTGGAGCTCCCTATGGGGCCACGAAGCGCTGTAGTAGGTGTGGCGGTCGCATGTGGCCACCCCCACCGGGGCCTTACATGGAGCTCCCTATGGGGCCACGACGCGCAGTACTGGGCGTGGCGGACGCATGTGGCCACCCCCACCGGGGCCTTGGGTGGAGCTCCCTATGGGGCCACGAAGCGCTGTACTGGGCGTGGCGGACACGTGGCCACCCCGCACGTGGAGTTCCCCATGGGGTCACGGAACGCTGTAGTGGGTGTGGCGGACGCATGCTGCCACCCCCATTGAGGCTTTGGGTGGAGCTCCCTGTGGGGCAACGAAACGCGGTGCTGGGTGGATGAAACGCAGGGAGGAGAGGGGTGGAGGGAAGGAGGAGGAGGAGTAGGAGGAGGAGGAGGAGGAGGAAGGAGCGCGGGGACCGTCTCTGCGAAACGTGAACCCAACATCACAGGATGGTTGAGAACAACGTCGACCCATCCTTATCAGAGGGCCACGGTCCTTCACGGTTGCCCGACCCCTCATTGGGGGCCTCTCATACCATCTTGTTGGTTTTTGCGAGTCGACCTTGCCCGTCGGTCGTTGAAAGTAGTTTTTGTTCGGGTTCTCCAGATCCCAATCATCCGACAGGCGCCTTCCTACTTCGATGACCGAATGGTTTCCCCTCTTCCATCATCAGGGGGCGGCCGCAAATCCAATCTCTTTCCAACGCCTCCCTACTTCATGTTCTGTGTATTTCTCCCGACCGACGTGTAAGCCCCTCGGGTGAACCTGCCCCCAAGAGGCGGCCAGCGGAGGCCCAGAGAGGGCCCAAAGCTTCGACCCTCGACCTCGAGCGTGGCGAGCGCTTTCTGGCACCACCGCTCGGGAAAGGATATACTACAAACTCTACATGCTCAGGGCGGACGCGCGCCTCCACAGAGGACACACCGTTTTAGTATGCTTATGTTCCTCCAAAGTGAATCGCGCGAAGCTCTGCGCACGTGCTCGCTCGAGTGAATTCATTTTTAATATATATATATATATATATATATATATATGTATACATATATATATATATGTATACATATATGTGTACCTATACATATATATATATATATATATATAGCCTCGGGTTCCAGTGCGGTGTGTACTTTCCCAGCTTTGCGCCGCTGCCTGCCCAGGCCATGCGAAAGGGTGCTTCGAGCGGAGCTCTGCGCAAGTGCTCGCACGTTTGTGTGCGTATGTATGAAGCAGGGCCGCTTCGCGGGGTGCGCATATCCGTGTGCGTGCGGGGCATGGGGCACGGCGTGTGAGGGGCTCGCCTTGCGCCCCCCACGGCCGAAAATGATGGTAAGGGTGGGTAGCCTTCCCAAGGGTATCCTTGCATCCATGCCCCTTCGGCCCACCCTTGACCACTTGCGATGGCGGCCGGTCCCGCTCGAAAAGCTTCGGCAGGGGCGTCCAAGGGGCCTGCATCCTTCTCGCGCATGCTCCCCATCAGTTTGACTGTGTTCCCTCCTCGCGTCCCTCCTCGCGTCCCTCCTCGCCGCCTCATCCACCGTGGGGGCCTCACCCGCGCCCGCACGTGGTTGAGCCGCCAGCCCCCCACCCCAGAAAAGCGCGCTGGGTGGGGCGCGTGCATACGCCCTCCTCACGCCCACTCCCCCCGCCCCCCACTCGGCGGCGAGCCTGGGGGGAAGAAGCCGCGCGTGGTCGAGCCGCCAAACGCCAAAAAACATGTGCGGGGTTGGGCGCGTACATACGCCCTCCTCACCTTCCTCCCACCCCCCACTCGGCGGCGAGCCTGGGGGGTAGAAGCCGCACGTGGTCGAGCCGCCCTCCCCCCACCCCCCACCCCCACCCCCCACCCTGCGGCGAGCCTGGGGGGAGTCGCTTGGCCTTCTAGAGAGTTTTTCCGAGCCTTCCCCGGCGACACAGCAGACTTCTCAGGTGGCCGGAGGGCTCCTGAGGAGTCCCGCCGCCTTCTGAGAGAGGCCTTTTCCTGCTCGCTTCCCCCCCTCGCTTGTCCCCCCCCCCTGCACCAAAAAGAAAAACTTGCGAAAACCTCGAGCAGTGGGGCCTCTGACTCTCGGGTCCTCCGCGACTCGGCGCCCTCCCCGCGGGCGGTGTGTGCTGGACTCGGGTGCGCGATCCCGCGGACACGCGGCGTAGATGCTCGGTTCGACTCAAGTTCGACCCAGTTCGATTCAAGTTCGACCCGAGTTCGACTCGGGTTCGCCTCGGGTTCGACTCGGGGTCGAGTCGAAGCGACGGACGTTCGACGCAGCTTCGACGCACGAGTGGAGCGAGAGGCTCCGGGAAGGTCCGCAGAAGGAGCATCCCGCGCGGTCGCACGGACACGGTCCGCGCGGGGCATGCGCGGAAGACGCGCCCCGCAGCCGCGGGGCCGCGGCCCAGGGGCCTGGCCCGCGAGGCCGTGGCCGCGGAGGGGTGCTGCGTGCGGTGGTCCGGGGTCGGAGAGCGTGGCGAGCTTGCGCGGCCGCCCCCGTTCGCTTCCCGCTGGGCTCCCACACCTCTTTGCAGGTTCGCACTCGTAGACAGACACTCACAGTTCCCGCTGGGTTCCCACAGTTCTTCCCGCTGGGTTCCCACAGTTCTTTGCAGGTTCGCTCTCATACACGGACAGACACTTCCAGCACAGTTCGCTCCCACAGTTTGCGCGGCCGCCCCTTCGTTTCTCGCTTGGCTCCGGCGGACACCTACAGAGACACAGACAGACACTTACAACTTCAACTTACACTCGGTCTTCCTCTTCTCTGCGGGTCGGAGAGCGTGACGAGTTTGCGCGGCCGCCCCCTTTCGCTTCCTGCTGGACTCCCACATTTCTTTGAAGGTTCGCTCTCATACACAGACAGACACTTACAACTTACACTCGGTATCGATCTTCTCCGCGAAGCAGATGGCGCGTGCCCTCCTGGTCGCCAGCCTCGTCGGGGCCCGTTGTGCAGTTCCCTTGGCCTCTTCCAGCGACCTCGAGCTGATGCAGGTGTGGTCCGCTCCGGCACCGTCGAAAGATGACTTTGGGAGGGAGTTCTTCACGCATGCTGGCGTGCATATCTACCCCCGTGCGCCGAATGGCCGCCGTACAGGCAATGGTGAACGTGAGGGAACTGAAGAAAACAAGACGTGGATGTTCATGATGAGGCAGGGTGCTACGGATGCGGAGCTGCAAAGCGTTATCCAGGAGCTCCATCCGACGGCGATGAAGACCAATCCGGACATTGGTGAAGTGCCATTTGTGGAGGGGCACTTGACTGAAGATGAACTAAAGACGGTGGTGGAGAAGGTTCAGGAGCTCTACCCAGGGCTTGTGCAGGCAATCGAAGAGGACTCTCGAAGACGCCTACGGCGAATCACCACCGCCCCATGCCTTTTGGAATTGCCCATGTGGCCGAGCGTTGCGGCAAAAGCTCGGCGAAGCTATCGGACCATGTGTTCCTCCAGCCATTGTGGAAATCCTTCGGGGAGCAAGTGGGGGAGGATGGCGGGGCAGATCAGGAGGAGGAGGAGGAGGAGAAGGGGGAAGGGAAGGGGAAGGGGGAGGGGCAAGAGGGGGAGTATGAGGAGGAGGGGGCATATTGGGAGCCTCTGGGGGCACTGTTGGGGCCTCCTAGAAGCTTCCTGGGAGCCTCTTGGAGGCATCTTGGGGGCCTCCTTGGGCTTCTTGAGGTGGGGCCTCCTTGGGCCTCCTAGGGGCCTTTGGGGGGTTCAGGGGCCTATGTGAGTTTCGGGGGCCTCTTTGGCAGTCTTAGGGCATTCCTAGCCCGTCCGACGCCGCCGGAAACCGTCTTGAGGGCCTCTCTGGGCCGACCTTTGGCCCCCTTGGGCCGTCTTGGAGGCCATCTTGGGCGTCTTCGAGGCCTCTTGGGCCGTCTTGGGGCTCCTTGGGGCCATCTTGGGGGGGCCCTTGGGCCGTGATGGGGGCATCTTAGAGGCCTCTTGGGCGTTCTTGGAGCGATCTTTGGTGGCTCTGGGGCCACCTTAGGGCGTTCCTGGCCTCCTGACGCCGTCGGAAGCCGTCTTGGGGGCCTCTCTGGGCCGACTGGGCGCCCTCTTGGCTTGGGCCGTCTTCGAGGCCGCCTTGGAGGCCTCTTGGTCCGTTCTGGGGCCATCCTGGAGGCTTCTTAGGCGATCTTGGGCAGACCTTCCTGGGCTCTTGGGCTGTTTCGGGCCGTCGGGATGCCGAACAGAAGTGCATGCGAAAATCCGTCAGCAGCCTAAGGCACATCAATGAGTTTGGCCTCTTCGGGACGATCTCTTGGAGGCCTCTTAGGCCGTCTTGGAGGCCTCTTGGGGGCCTGGTGAGCCGTCTTGGGCCATCTTGGGCCGTTTTGGTGGCCTCCTGGTTTGCTTAACGCCGTCGGAAGCCGTCTTGAGGGCCTCTCTGGGCCGACCTGGGGCCTTCTTGGGATGCTCCATGACTCTAAAGCGAGCTGGGGGACGTAAGGAGTGGAAGCGAGCGTGCGCCCGCGGCCGCCTTGGTTCAAAGCGGCCGGCCGCCCAGATTCGACTGTGCCTCACCGCGAGGCACACTATCGCTATTTCCCTCTTACTTGAGATGGCATCTCCTCTTGCATTGGGACTATCGATACTACGATACAGCCGAGCTGGAGCTTGGCTTCGCCTGAGGCGAAGCTGTTGGCTGGGCCTCCCAGCCCCCTTCAAACATGGTAGCGGAGCTGGCCTATGGTGGTCAGTTCTATCTCTACTCCTCACCATCCACGGCACTACCTCGTGGACTACAGATACGGTGGAACATCAGGGTGCAGTGGCACTGTGCGGAGGAATGTACATAGATACGCAGTACCGCAAGGAAACTTGCAGCGACACCTCTGCTCCAGCGGAGGTCTCTCGCTCATATTCTACACCCCTGCGCCATTACACTCCTGAGGTTCCCCCACCTACTCCAATTAGAAATTTCTCCGGAGACATAATGCATGGAAGCATGCGATACGACATACTGCCGCCTCCCACCCCACGCAGACTTACGACGACAAAACACAAGTCTCCACCGACTAGACCCGACTACGACCTACGAGGCCATTGGTTGTGGGGCGCTCCCCCCGACGTTAAGCGACATCTCTATGGTCGACGTTTTTAGGCTGTTTCGGGCCTGTTTCGGGAGCGTTTTGGGAGCGTTTTGGAGCGTTTTTTTTTTTTTCTGTTTTTGGAGCGTTTTTTGAGCGCGTTTTGCGTTTTTGCGGTTTTGCGCGTTTTTGAAAGCGTTTTTTTTGCGCGTTTTTGGAAGCATTTTTGGAGCGTTTTTGGAGCGTTGTTTGAACCGTTTTTGATGTGTTTTGAAAACGTTTTTTGTGTTTTTTTTGTTTGTTTGACACGTTTTTGGGGCACGTTTTCATTCCGCTCGTTTTCGGATGTTTTTTTGAAGCGTTTTTTTGCGCGTTTTCGGAAGCAGTTTTGGAGCGTTTTTGGAGCGTTTTTGAAGCGTTTTTTGATGTGTGTTTGGAAGCGTGTTTGTATGTTTTTGGTTGGTTTTTGATAGTACGTGATTGAAACCCTTTTGCATGTCTTGCGGTTTTTGCTGTTGTTTTTTTTGTTTTGTTTTGCGTTTTGGCGCGCTTTTGGGGGCGTTTTTGGAGCGTTGTTTGATAGTGTTTGGAACGTTTTTTGTGCGTTTCGGCAAGTTGTTGTGCGTTTTTGAAACATTTTGGGGCGTTTATGCGCGTTTTTGGGGCGTCCTGGGCGCATGTCGGGCGCATTTTGGGCTCACTTCGGGCGCGTTTCGGGCGTCTGTTTTTTTTCACGTTTTCGGAAACGGTTCGGGCGCGTTTTTTTGAAGCGTTTCGGCACGTTTCGGGCGCGTATGAACGCATTCTGGACGCGTTCTAAGCGCGCTTGGGTGCGTTTGGGGCGCATCTAAGGGGAGGGCCCGCAGCGGAGCTCCAGGGCTCCGTGTTGCTAGCGCTTTGGGTGGCAACTCTTCGAAGGATGATGGTGATGACGATGATGGCGATGGAGACAACGGCGATGACGATGAGGAGGGGGAGGAGAAGGAGGAGGAGGCATACCATAACCCCCGCAATTGTGGATAGGAGTGAGGGGCTGCTGTGGTCTTGGCCGCAGGCGCCGAGTTTCAACTCCATGAAAACATCAATGGGGATCGAAAGCCCGCCGCAGGCGCCGACTTTTTATTTCATTTCATGTCTGCGCAACCGAGACCCGTGCCACCCGTGGGCCCCGCGGCGACGGGCCCGAGGCCCCCACGGCGCCGCGGGCCCCCTCTGGTCGGGCCCCCGGGCCCCCCCCGGGTCCCCCATGGGAACCCTCCAAGACAGCGCTGGAGGTCCACTAAGAGTCTAAGAGCTTCCACGATCGTCGCAGCTCTCACTTCTGGTGGTCCTTCTGTGCAAGCTCTTCGGCTCGAGGTCGGACTCTCAGGCCGCGGGGCGATGCCGACCTACGCGGGCCTCAAGGTCAAGGCGAAGTGGCTCCGTCTGATGCGCGGGAAGCGCGTGCGCGGTGTGCCGCTCCGGAAGACAATCGAGGTGCGCAAGTACCCTCCGTGGAAACGGACGCCGCGGGACCAGCTGCCCGTCGAACTTGGGGAGCGCATCTTCCTGCTCTGCGGGGGCGAGGTCTGGGGGTCCGCGCGCCTCGCCACCGTCACGGAGTACGAGGACATGTTGGCCTTCCGCGCTGCGGAGGCGGAGCACTGCGTGACGGGCAGGGGCCCCGAGGTGCAGGCCATCTTGCAGGCGCTGGGCCGCGGCCACATCGTGTATGGCTGGCAGCTGGCCGATTTCCGCTGGTTCGAGCCCGCGCAGAGGCCGCGCAGCGGCACGGACGGCGTCCCGGAGTTCAATGGACAGGAGCACGGCTGGGTGTGGAGCGATCAACGCTTGCCGACGACGCTCGAGAACGACCCCGCAGCGGGCGCGCCAGCCCCGTGAGAGGGCCGCGGTAGCGGCGACGGCGGTGGCCCCCTTCCTCCTGCGCAGCACTCTCTGTGCCACGTTCTTCAGTGCATAGCGGTCTTCCCAGTCAGCGGGAAGCGTCTCGATAGGAATTGCTGGCTTTTTTCAGCCATCGAAACGCGTAGGGCGGGGAAGACAGAGCACAGAGCAGATCTCGGTGCCGGCTGCGTTCCAGACAAGGCTCTCCTCGGCCTCGAGTTTTGCGGTGGTGCCATCGGGCCATCGCCCCCCTCAGTGGCATCTCCCACTCTACGGGCGGGCCGAGGCCCGAGTGAGCCTGAGCCTCTCCATCCTTCCCCTTCCCCTTGAAGCGCCTTGGGCCGTCTTGGGGCGATTTTGGGATCCTCTTGGGTCGCCTTGGAGCGGTATCGGCTCGCTGAGACCCCCCCTAAGGAAGGCATGTGGGAAGCTATGCCCCCGCCCGATCCACCAGGCTCTCCCAAAGGGTTGTGACACGCCGTAGGATTGCTTTTTTTCTGTTTGCGGTCCCTAGCCTTCGGATCTAAACAAAAAGCGGGAGGGAGAGAGAGAGAGGGAGAGAGAGATCCTCCTCCCCCTCCTTCTTCTCATCAAAACTCATCCCCCCCCCGCGGCTTGAGGCCTCACCCAAATGAAAATGCGGGTAGATGAGAATTTCTTGCTCTGGATTTCTGGAGGGGGCTCGCCCGGCCCGGCCCCCCTCGGAGGGGCCCGCAATAAGCGGGTCCCCCGGCCCTCGTCCTGGAGCGCGTTCTGACCAAGATTCCGAAGCGAATCCAGCCCTGGCGACGAGGCGCCGTTGGTGTGGGCTGTATGATGGGGTTCCGCGTGTGCAAGTCGGCTTGGGTTCCAGTGGTGTGGGCTGTTTTGGGTTCCGTCGTTGTGGGTTGTTCTGGGTGCTGTTGGTGTGGGCTGTGTGGGATTCCGTGTGTGTAGGTAGTCTGGGGTTCCAGTGGTGTGGGCTGTTTTGGGTTCCGTGCGCGTGGGTCGTTGTGGCTTCCGTTGACATGGGCTTTCGGGGATTCCGTGTGTGCAGGTTCGCTTGGGTTCAGGTGGTGCGGGCTGTTTTGGGTTCCGTTGTTGTGGCTTGTTTTGGATTCCGTTGGTGTGGGCTGTTCGGGGTTCCGTGTGTGTAAGATGTCTTGGGTTCCGGGGTTGTGGGCTGTTTCGGGTTCCGTTGGTATGGGTCGCTTTGGGTTCCGTTGGTGTGGGTTGTTTGGGGTTCCGGTGGTGTGGGCTGTTTTGGGTTCCGTCGATGTGGGTTGTTTTGGGTTCCGTTGGTGTGGGCTGTGTGGGATTCCGTGTGTGTAGGTAGTCTGGGGTTCCGGTGGTGTGGGCTGTTTTGGGTTCCGTTGGTGTGGGTTGTTTGGGGTTCCGGTGGTGTGGGCTGGTTTGGGTTCCGTCGGTGTGGGTTGTTTTGGGTT